AGATTAAATTAAGAAGGGATTTCTAGGCAATCACCAAGAAAACTATGAATATTGTACTGTAGTGTGGTTGCAAGGCAGGGAGAGTTGAAATGTATTTATCTCTTAAACTGCAGCATACTGTGTCATTAATCCTGAAAGCTTTCAATTTCAGCAGCACTTAAATAAAAACATAGGAACAGTTTGCATGCACATGCACACTTTCTCTCCTCTTTTCTCTCTCTCTCCTGGAAACAACACAGATCTGAATTTTGAATTACTAGAACAGATCTTCAGCACCTGGAAATCAGTATAGCTCTATGGACTTTACCTGTGGAGGATATCACTCTTTATATTAAAATAAAGCTTTGGAAGCCAGAGGAAGTCCATATATATTTTAACATAACTATTGACATAACTCCAGTAGCTTGGAACATGTACAAAAAACATTTTTATGGCATTCTGCGTGCCTCAGCAATGGGCAAGTGTTCTATAGAATAATGGTTCTGTAACCACCAACTTCAGAAGTATAAAATGTCTGTGACATGATGAAAATAGCAGTTTCCACATCAATAATATACACATAGGCATATTGAGGCTTAATTGCAAGGCCGATGGTAGGGGGAGGGGATCGTTGACTAGGGTTGCACTAGGCATGCATGCTGAGCAAAATGCCTCTGCTTTACAGCCAGAAACAATGATTCATTTCATTATAATCTTGACTTTTGCATTTTTCTCATGACTTATCAATAACTTCATATGGGACTTAGTAGACCAAGAGAGTTATTGACTTTTTAGGAATTAAGAAATGAACTGGGGTAATGTATTCTTTTGTACAAACATTAGAACCTCTGGCAAACTTAAAAAAAAACCCAAAACATTCTCTTTAAGGACAGTCTTCCTGATTTAATTTTTCTGCTTGCAGTTTTTTTTTTTTTTTTTCCCCTTTGGCCTGAAAACCCATTGCTGGAAAGTAGAGCTTTGATTTAAGAACTCCTCTGTGTTTGCCCTTCTTCCTGAGTAATCACAATCCTCAGTCTGGCATCCTGATATTCACAGCAAGTGGTTTTGATGCCACAAACAATTGATGTTTGCCCACATTCTAATTTATGCTGCCAGGATTGTGTAAAGGAGACTCAGCATAAATGAGCTTCAATGGAAACTAGAATAAGGCATAAGAAGGAACAAAAGGCTTTAACTGGTGGTATAGTATCATATCTTATAGTATAATACAGTATTGCTGTCTTTATTGCTACTGTTTCTATTTCCCATTGTTCATGACACAGATCACATAAGTCAAGTACCTTGAAGGTCCTTTGGTATTGTACTCAATATATGAAGTATTAGCAGCTCTTAGAATGTGTTATCACAGCCCTCATAGTATTTGTTGTTTGTCTTAAAGCCACAGCACCTGAAGTCAAGTGATTACATGAGAATCTCAACTTTTATTTAAAAAATGACGTCTAACAGTCTTATTGCAGGGAAGAAAATCTTGAAAACATCCTAGAATGCAACTTGGAGTCCAGGAAATCATAGAATAAATCAAAAGAACCCAATGCTTATAAAAAATATCCTATGATTATTTTTAAGTCTATCATGGTTTTTTGAATGATTTGGATAGGCAACAGCGCATGTGGTAGGTTCTGCTAGTATTTATTTATTTTTTTTAAAGAGCAGTAAAAAGAAAATAATTTATTTTTCCTGGTTTGTTTTCTCAGCTATCTTCTGGTTATTCATTGCACATGTTAGCGAAGTTTTGTTGGTTAGAGTGAGTCACTTCTCAGAGTTTATAGAAATGAAGATTTCCAGCTTTGAAAAATATAACTCCAGTGCATCCTTGGGGGGTCGAACATGATAAAAATAACTTCAACAGCAGGGCTAATAAGTTACTGATGCCTGTTCAATGCAGTAGCTACTTGGCTAGTGGCACATAGGCATAAGAAACTAATTTTGGAGTGCTCATGGAGCATTCTCTTTTTCAAGTGGGGTATTTTCCTCATAACCAAATCAAAAACAAATAGTTAGACAAGTGTCTATAATTGTGTGAGAGGCAGTTGCTTGTCAGAAAAAAAACCCCTCTACAGAAATCTGTTGTAATCCAAGGAGTCCATTCAACAGCCAGGATGTAATAAATCCTTGATAGCAGTAGAATTTACAGGAAAGGGTTTACGTTTTAAAATAGAAATAGTCCAATAACACACACAAAGCAGGTGCCCCTTTGACCTTCCCAAAATATCTTTCTTCTAGGCTTTACTACCTAATTGCACAGGTGCTATTTCCAGCTGGGTCTTCTATCTAGCTGGGTTGGAGGGCTGCCTCCTAGGTTCTCACCTTTGGACCTCCAGTATTCAAGCCCTTTTTTTCAAGGTTTCCTAGTTACCCTTGTATCAGGGTTTTAGGCTCTGGCAGTCTGTTAGCTCTATTGCCTCCCATTTCATGAGCAAAGGAGTTCTGTCAGACTCATGCTATACTCTGGGCCTCTTTGAAGAGCAGTTTTTCATATCTTTCCCAGCTTCAGGTCTGTCTCCCTTTGAAAGAGCACATTTCCTCTGATAGGCAGCCTATCCTTGGACTGCCCTCTGGTGATGGTGATTACTTAACCAAAGCACTAGCCCAAGTCCCATCATTGATAGCTGGATGTAAAAAGATCACATGAAGATGATCTGAGCTCCTTTAAAGGGTCAGCCAATACTCTGATACCATCAAAATAAAGTGCGTTATTTATTTTTGTCCCAAGATTAGGAAAATACAGCTGGGGATCCAGAAGATAATTTATTCTAACCCCCTGCTCAAGGCAGGATCTTCTTTCTTGGGGCATAATCATTTGGGTTGCACCCATATATGGTGTCCTTTCCCTTTAAAGAATTAAAAATTATTTACAAGAGAAATAAACAATAACCACCCCCCCCCCCCCCCCCCCCCCCGCAAGGGATAAACCAGACTTATTATCACTAAAGGAACAAATCCCACTGTTGCTCTATGAATAACTTGTGTGATTTCTTTCCTGCTGGATCTTTGTCATATAGTTGTTTCACATTTGGGTTTTCCCATGTTGGGATAGAATTTGTGGTTGGATAACAACTGCAAAACCTTCCAGGAAGAGGCTGAAGTTGGGTATTTGCATCAATGAATCCTGTAGGCCTAAAGTTAAAACACAGATCATGAAAAATGGCTGTTGTAACGTTTAGTTTTCTGACTCTTCAGTTCCAGACACAAGCAACATGTAAGATGAGGGTGCACATAAAATGAAGGTTATGCTGAAATCAAATTTATTTGCAGATGCCAATAGTGAACTGGGTATCTATAACCCTGTTCCTGTGTGTAACTTTCATGATCCAGCAGAGGTACTAGAAAAGTCAAATGAAGATTAAAACATACCTAATGGTATGGGGGACATGGTACAGAAGAGCAAACCACATGTCATGGTCATCTGCTGCAGCAGTAGTTGCTAAGGTCACTGTGTCACTGGGAGCAGCAGTGAAGGTGAGCTTTTTGTTTTCATCCTCAAGTCTTATAATAAAACTGGCAGCTGTAGCTTGAGGTGGGCCTTGTTACAAAAGATAGTGCTGTAAAAGGTAAACATATTTACAAGAGATAATAGTGTAGATGGAACCAGCAGATGAGTCAAGCCAAGTTTACTCAGGCTTGTTAGGGTCAGTCCTTTGACATGAAATGTTTTCTTTTCAAATGTTGTGTAAGAAGAACATTACAATCTAGTTAGGGCACTACCCTGGGACATAGGGTATGTTCTTGCTCTAACTTCTGTGTGATGGGGACAAGTCACTCTCTTTGTGAATTTGTTTTTTAAATAACTCTTCCACCTAAATGTCTATGCATTAGGAACAATAGATAAAGGAGTGTCAGGTTGCTTGGGTGGACTCCTGAAAAGATAGGCCATATAAGTACCTGAGAGAGCAAAATATTATCTACACACAAATACCACCATTAGTACGTGCAAAATGCCTTTAGAAGTTTGTTTTTCCATTGACAAGGATAGTGATTTGGGGGGTTTCCTTGGTTTATGATTGCCTGTGAATATAGGGACTGAATTCTAGCCCAGGAGGTCCATCCAGTCCTATATTTCTATGCTTTCTGAATTTTATGCTAGCAAGAAGAAAGTCAGATGAACTTAGAGAAATTAAGACTTCCAGTCAATTCCTACCTGGTATAAATCAGCCTAGCTCTGCTGAAGTCAAAGGAGCTACACCAATAACACCAGCTGTGGATTTGGACCAAAATTTCACTATTGAATGCTAAAGAGAAATCGCTGGACTTTGAATTCAGAAAAGATTCAACTAATTGAGCAAAAAACTCTGGTCTGTGTAGTTGTATCCAATTTGATTTTTTTAAAATTTTATGTTATTGCTGACTGGTGTCTGTGCAAGTCTGCTGAAGAGAACTGTCTTCTTGGGGAAAAAGTTGGGTCAGTCCTGTGTTCTGATGCCCTGCTCCATCACCTGCAACAGAACCACACCAGAGCTGGGCAGGGTGCAGGGTCCCAGCCTCACTCACTTTTCCTTGTTATTCAGCCTAGTATTTTCAGACTGAATGACAACTTTTTTTTCCCATACTGCAGAATGATCTCAGTAGTTGGGCCTTGGTCCCAGCAAGGACAGGCTGCCAACATCATTCCCCTTCTTCCTTGCTAGGCTTGTTGACCAGTGGCCTGATATACCATTTTTCCTGAATATCTACTCTGCACTCTTCTTGCCCACTGCTTGCTGACCACATCTACATTGTCAACTAAAAGGCTTGACAGCTTTACCTTCAAGCACATTGCACTGCTCTGCATGGTCAACCTCCTAAACTGGAAACAGTGCATTAGGTATGACTATGTGATGCTTTGGGTCAGCTGATTAGCCCTGCTTAAGGGCAAGGCCAATTAGCCCATCTGCAGTGCTGCAGAGATGTGGCTACACTGCTGCTACAGTATTTTAGGATGGAGGCTATATAGAGCAGTGCTGTATGCTTAAGGGTGATGATGTTGAGCACAGTAAGTTTACTAGGTAGGCGTTGCCTCAGTTTCTTTAAGCTGTTTTGTCCTCTTTTTTTAGATCCCTCATCTCTCATACATCCTGCTTTCTCTAATGCAGGCTTCTTCCTGGCTTCTTCAGCTCTTTTTCTCACAGCTCACTGATTTGCTTGATAAGTACTCTCTCTTGTTTCCCTCCTGCCTCCTAAATTGTTGGCTAGTGTTTATGCAACTGAGGAGGATTGTTCTGAGCTGCTTTTTTACTTAGAACATTTCATTGATACCAGTTGCTGAAGGTAAGCAACTGAATATAACTGATATTTATGAAGACACGGGGCATTCCCTAGAGATGGGTGACCACTTGTGTGGGTCTCTAGTACCTGAATCTCATCTGGAAAGTGCTCTGTCTTTAAGATGCTGAAGCAGGGTCATTCAAGCTAGTACAAGATGGTAAGGTGGGCTGAATCACAGAAGCCTGTGGGCCCAGAGAAAATAATCATTTAGAAGCCCTTAAGACATGGTTACGTTGGTTGTATACTACTCAGTACTGCTGCTTAAAAACATGACCTGCCTACTCGCCCCGCTGCTGCAGGCTTCAAGCCTGGAATTGAGGTGGAAGGTTGTTTTAGGGATACATCCGTCACTACCACTCTTAAGACATGCATATTCACTAGCTACGGTTGAAATTCTTGCCTCTGAAATGCTGTTTCTCTTTCTCAAAGCTGATACATTGACCTGAGGAACAGCTGATGAGATTTGTTCCAGCTCCATATAGCAGCCTAGCTTTGGAGTTTTCTGAAATAAAATATAAAATGTGCCATAATTGTATATAAGGATAGGGAAGGCCAGCCTGGAAAAAGATAGCCTATGCAAAATGCTTTTAATTCTTGTTTCAAATGTTCTTGTAGAGCACCATGTACTTGCCCAGTTCTACTAGGAGGCAGTATAACAGCTGCCAGCCCTTGGTTACCAGTTTGGATGAGCAGTTCTGGTTAGTATTAAGCTGGAAAGAAAGGATGTGTTTGTGATTAAAGCACTGCACTGGCACTTCGGGAACCTGGGTTCAAGTTGTGGGTCAGCCACAGGCTCTTTGTGTGACTTTGGGCAAGGTAATTAGGCTGAGACATCAAAGGCCAAGAAACAATGTGAGTGCCCCATTCCCAGTCATTATAATTAAGTGGGAAGCTTTGAAACTCTCAGCTTTAATCTCTCTGTGCCTCAGTTCCCCATCTATAAAATTGGGAGAATAATACCTACCTCACATTAAGACAATATGCTCATTAATAACTGTGGTTATGACAGTTACTACTGTTGTCTACAAAAGCACAGTAGACACTCAGTTTACACTGAATTTGGTGAGTGCAGAAGTTATTTGGCCTTGCAGGCAAAGAGCCCATGTATATAGCCATGATTTAGATATGGGCTGCAAAATAAGGTCAGGCCTTTTTTTCAGTGAGAATTTGTTTACACAGAAGAACAAAACCTTAGCGTACAAGATTGGGCCCACAGGGAGATAACTCCCCCCCTGCAAATGCACTGTAAACAAAATATTTATGGGGGGAATGGCTCATTTCATATATATTTAATTTAGTTACATAACAATGTCCTGCCATTTTTTACAGTGAACATTAAACTTTTACAAGATGAAATGACTAGTTATTAACGTGTCAATTTATTTAGCCTTGCTTCCTAACAAGCCATACACCCCCTTCAACATCATCTAAACTACGGTACGTCCTGCTGCCTCACGTTATGTGATCATGTAATGAAAGGCTATAATGCAGGCTGGCAAGAGGAAGGGTTAAAAGAGCCAAGGGAGCCTTAATTCCTGCGTTCTCTGACTTTTGTGGGTTTAATTCACAATCTTAACATTCCATTAGTAAGTGGTCTTACCCACATACACATACACACACAATTAAAAACAAAAAATTCTCAAAAAATATGATTTTTTTTTTCTTGTTGTTCTGAGCCATGCTGGTTCTGTACATGGCAGCCAGGTGTTATTGATAACCATTTTTACATGTTATATTTTGGTATAAGCTCATTCAGGTATCATTCATGGTATCATTCAGGGTTGAATAGATTTCTGTCAGGTTCCATACATGTTTCCTGTTTCTAATAGGACTTTGGTCAAAAAATGTTTTGAAGATCGCTTGTCCTGCTGGAAACGGCAGTGGATTGGGAAAGAGGGGACCTGAATTCTCTTTCTGGCTCTGCCACTGGCATTTAAGATAATCTTGGTCAAACTGCTTCATCTCTCTGTGCCTCAGTGTCTCTATAAAGTGAAGATAATGCTAATTGCCTCCAGTATAAAGGCCTTTGAAGTCTGTGGATAAAAAGCCCTATAAAGGGCATTATTCATGCTTGTGTTGTTTGTATTACCTCTTCTTAATAGATCTGATCCTGGTTATTATCATAATTATTTCTATGACAGTGGACATGTCTATATGAGGTGCTGACTGCACAGTTGCTACTGCGCAGTCATTTAACCATCGTTACTGTGCAATAGTCTCCCCGTATGGCTTTTTGGTGACACTGACTGCGTAGTAGCTCATTACTACTGTTTAGTAGTGTCATGTCATGCTTTGTGCCATGCAATGCTACTGTACAGTAGTAATGAGCTACTGTGCAGTCAGTGTCTTGTGTAAAAGTGGCCAGTAGCACCTAGAAAACCCAACCAGAGCCTGTTTTCACCCCAGTGAGTATTGGCCTATTGCACAATTCATTTGCAAACCAAAAGGAGCAGATACTAACATCCTTCTTTGTGGGATTGATTTACTGTTTAACATGAACAAAAATATTGCAACTGCCTCTTAAAATATACTTGTAGGTTTTCAAGCTAGCTGCGAATGAGGTGCTTTACTAATTTGTTAACACATTTATTTACAGAGTGGTGACCACAGAGCAGATCCTTGAATCTCCATCCCATATTTGGAATTTTGCATGGGAAGCCCCGGTATGTCGAACGTCACTGATATTACATTTTGCCTCTTAAGTTGTCTTATGATCAGTTCATTTATCTTTTCTTTCTAGATGTTTTCTGCCCAGTATATGTGCTATGTGTAACAAATGAATTTTGAAATGGAGTCAGGGGGGTTTCTATTATTTTATAACACAGTACTTTGCTAGGTTAAACTTTTTTTCTAAAAAGGTAAGTCAGTTATTGAAACACAGTTCCTCTACACTGTGTATATGTAGAAGTGTTCCAAAAAATATTTTGGAAGAATTTCTATTAACTGGTTAAAAATATATTTGCATACATTTTCACCCTGCTAAACTTGGTTGTTTTGCCTCTGTCTGGCAAATATATGATTTAAAAATAAAGGGCATCTTAAAAAAAAAAAAAAGAGACTTGTATGTCTAAACACTTGCACTCAAATAATATTTATGATTTTTTTTTCTCTTGTTTCCAGGGATATCCACTAAATAACATTGACCTCTTAATTTTCCATAAGAGGCTTATTAATGTATTTATCTGTCCTTTACAGGGGAAAATAAAAACAAGTAAAAGTGGTTGTACGAAAATGGTGATAAATTTGTGTCTGAGTCCCAAACCTGCAAAAACTTATGCTTAACTTTACATACTCTGACTACTTCCAGTGGGGTCCAGGCCTGTGAAAAATGTTTGTAACAGAATCACAAACTGTCCTGCCTCATTTCCCATCTTGTTACAAGCACTAATATCTGTGTAAGTTTAGCTAAGTTCATGAACCTTCAGAACACCTCCCCACTATGCCCCTAGGGTTCTGGGAAGGGATTTATGGTTTCATGTGAAAAACAGTGTGAAACTTGGCACCTTTGCATGGCTTCAACCCTAACACCACCAACACTCTAAGTGAGAAGAGGGACTGTGAACTTACCCAAACCTGAAGTGTAGAAAAAGTTTATTGAAACCCCCATTCACTGCAGCTAGCAAGATTTGCAGAACTTTAGGGTTTTATCTGCATTAGCCTTATTACTAACCCCACACGTTCAAAATTCATGATCCTGACCCCTGCAAAGATATTATGACATGCGATGGCCTAAAACTGCCAAGTTCTGAAACAAAAGGATAAATTGGATTCTTTTTACTCTATTTTTGGTTTTTGGACCTATAAAGATCACATTTCAAACTTTTCTTTGCAGCCAGGAAGTCTAGAAACATACTTTAAAACATGCAAGTTGAAATTCTAACAATCACATGACTTTGAGATGGAGCTTGAAAAAAAGCTTCCCACTAAATATTATGAGGTATGTGATGAAAAACTTCACAGTGTTGTTTGTGGAACACTTTACAAAATAATCCCCAACATTGCTGAACTAATCTTAGCAACAGTGGGCCAGTTAATTTATTTGGGTCAATTGGGCCATGAATTGAAGAGATGCGATTTTTAGGGTTGATGAGCAATCTGCAGCTTCTAATTGGTTATCATAATCAGCTACTTGAATATGTATGTGGGTGGGTGGGTGCGGGGTGGGGGCAGAGAGTCCACCATTCCCCCATGTCTAGTCCCTATATTGTATGGCTTCAGGCTAGAGTAATCACTGCTACATGGTTGTATTGCTGGGGGTGGGAGGTAGAAAGGGAGGAAGGATGCATGACCACCCACTCACCCACCCCCTCTTCCAGGGCTTGATATTAAATGCAAAATGTGCCTGTTTGTTACTACTGATTGCTTGAGCTGGCAGCCATATATGTATGCAAGGGGGACACAGTTCCCAGAGCAAACATAGTACTTGGGAGTCAGTGGCAAAGGGGGAGATATTACGTGTAGGTTCAGAGAATGGAGGGTTCATCAGACTAATAATGCCCATCCTTTCCCTGGCTGGCAGGCAAGCTCTGTGATGGAGGTGCCAATCAGGATGGTTCAGGTTTACACAGGGAGACAGCTCTTCCATAGCTCACTTGCTTTACTTCATTTAAGTAAGTGCTAAAAGAGAATTAATTGGTTGGCAGGCTAATGTGGGAACCCTGGGTTTAATTCTCTTCTTGGCTGTGGGCTTTCCGCATGGCCTTGGGTCACTGAGGGGCAGACTTTTAAAGGCATTCAGGCATCTAGAAATGTGGATCCCATGAAGCATAAATACAACATTAGGTGCTTAAGTGCTTTAAAAATCTGGCCCTTGGTGCCCTGTGATTTGCTATGTAAAATTGGGTCAAAAAGCATTTCCTTCCCTGCCAAACTGTTTTGCAGATAAATACTATACAAATTATGCGGTGCTCAGAACCAATGCAGGTGGTTTGGAAGGAGATGATGACAACTTCAGATACACAGGAGGAAGGTGGACAACTGGCAGATATCCAGGTTGTCCTGATTGCTTGATGACTGGCAGAAGCACTGAACATTGTTTCCAATTGCCAGCAGGTGGATGAGGCAAAGCTGCCTACTTATGAAAGGCTCAGGATTGGGTAGTCACAGTGACTACCTGCTTGGACAAGCCAGATGAAGTCAGTCCAACTGACTGACGTAGTTAGGTTTTTGGGTGCTCACTCCTCACAAGCTACTCCCACAGTCTCCTGTTTAAACTCACAGCTCAGTTCTTCATCAGATAGGCAAATTGCCCTCTTGAGTGAAAAAGCTATCCAGGCTAGTTGCAGTTCCTCCACAGGCATTGCAATGGTACTAGTAGTTCCCCCTTCAGTTACCCTAGTGCTTTCAATGCAGTTGAAGGAGTCGGACTTAGAACTTGCCTTGACTTTCAAAGGGCTGTCTGCTTCTAGGCTTATCACTAAAAAGGTAGCTTTGGGCAGCTGGCTTTGGAATCTATGTGGTGATTCCCAATGATGTCCATAGGTTTTTCATTAGGCCCAATGTGCAATGGGGGGATTGTTACTTCATCCATATGTAACCCAGCCCACTATCCTAACAATTACTGGTGAAAGTGGCATTGTTTGTGTCACTCAGAAAGATAATTTAACTTTTTCCTAACCAGCTCCTGATGGGTCTGTGTACCTCATCCCAGTCCAAAAATCAGCTTTAGGTGAGACCTTCAGTCAGGCAAATCGCCCTTTTGAGAGAAGAAGCTTTTCTTCTTCCATGGAGCCTGGGATAGCTGCACGTCCTCCACAGGCATTGCAATGGTAGCAGCAGTTCTAGTCTGGGTAGTCTGCAAAGTGAATCATGTGTGATTACTGCATTTATGAAATAAAAGTTCTAACTGTACTTACAAAAATGTAGTAGCCCTACCTATAAACTCACAGTGGGGCTGTTCTCCCATGTCCAAGAGTTATGTCCATTTACTGACTGGAATCATCTCTTAAAGAGCATATTTCATATTGAAAAGGAATTAAGGAAGAATGATAGATTGGGATAGCATGAGCCCTTGTGTTCTTATTGCTATAGTTTAAGTTATTGTTGTTTTGCTCTACAGTTAACTATTACAAAAAGATAGAAAGCACAAACTTAAGATATTTTTGCAGCCACCAAATATATAGACAGGAAGTCAGCTGTATTATGCAGATTAAAGAGTCAAGTTAATTCATTAGAACACTGCAGCCAAAATCAGTGTTATGAAGCAAAGTTTAGTTGCTGCCTATATTATTTCTGGTGGATATTTTCCCCCTTAAGCTTCAGACAGATGATTTCCTACAGGGGGTTTAAAAGAGCTTCATCTGGAAAAAAAAGACTATCATGCTAACTTCTAACTTACTCTACAACAAGAATCCATTAACTCTAGAATGGCTAATGACTGTGATAGAAAAAAAGTAAAAGGAATAGGTTGTATTCCTGTTCTCAAGTGTTACACCGATGTTCAAGTGGCATCAGGATATCTTTGGCCATTCATATTTGAAAAACCAAAATGCAGCCATTAAAATTCAGCCTCATACCAGGGGATCAAATTTGTGTAGAAATAGGGGTGAAATAGACTGCATTTTTGTGCCTTAAATATTACTTCAGATCTTGGTATTTGCAGGTGCACGGCACTAAATTGAACACAATCATTTTGTTAATTGCAGTTCAAGCTCATTAGGGAACTATAAAGGCAGAAGAATGAATGTAACCGTGCATTAAATGGTAAATGATTTTGGGGTGGGAAGCAGTCAGGTGTGTTGCCCAAGGCTATGATTTTCCCCAAATTAACATACATAGCAAAGCAAGAAAGAATGAGGGGGGTGGGAACAATGAAAGGTTACAGGTAGCCAGAGCAAACTCCCAAACCTCAGTGACACTGTGGGATATGTTAATTTCTGAATTGTTGAGAATCTAGCTGGTGCTGGTTCACACCAGGATTTGGTTTTTTTGTTGGTGGTGTTTTAGATTCATTCAGATGAAATGCAATGAAAAAAAACCAAAACAGTGATGTGTGTGTTTTGTCCCTGTGCACTGAATAAAGCTTTGCAAAGTTTTTGCTTCAGCCTCAAAGACCTGTTGCATGAGCAATTGTAATGAAATTTGTTACGAAACCACTGAACTCCTCAGCCTTGGAACAACGTGTGTCTGAGCAAACAGCCAAAAGCTGCTTCTCTAAGTTTTGATGAAAGATTCATCAGCCTGAACACGTTCATCTCAAAACTTGATTCCTTCCATTCCCCTGCTGGGATCTCCAAGCCAGCCAAGTCCCTTGTGCTTTCAGGTTTGATTATGTACATTTATTTCCCCTGCAATGAACATATTAATCCTCCAGTGTAGTAAGAAATTTGGTCAACTTTTTCAATTGTAACTAATAATTTTAACTGTCTCTAGATTTGGGTGCCCAAACTGAGGTAGCTTAAAGGGTCCTGATTTCTTAACTGCTCATCTCTTCTGTGAAAAACAGGCTTCTTTAATTTATCTTATCACTTTTAATTTAAACTTTGAATGTAGTGGTAACTCTCTCCTTATTGAATAACAGATTTAAGAGAAATACTAAATAGAAATAGGGGGCTGGATGGTCTTATAAAATTTTCCACTGGAACTTCTTTTTGGCCATAAAGTTAGAGTTTTGAGCAAGCCAAAGAGATGTCCACTAGAAATTTAGGTGAAAATAAGGGGTTTT